TCTAGATTTTAATGATATAGTGTCAGGGCTGAGGAGTGGAGCAAAGGATCACTATAAGCCAAGTAGCCCGGGAAGCAGCTGGCAGTGTGGGGTATATACTTTAGATTGAAGAAAGCATTTAGAATAGCTCTGGAAGAAGAGAAGGAACCATGCTGCAAAAGGAGCAAAATGAGCAAAGACACAGGGGTGAGGATGGATATAGATGGAAAATGTCCAAGCCTTGACTTTCCCTTTGCATACATAGATGCATATCTACACACATACATGCATTAATGATAGATAATTAGATAGATAAATAGATAGATAGGTCAAGAAATAGATAGATGCTGAATGGAGAACCTCATGTTGAGAAGCAAAATTCTTTGATGATATTTTAGGAAAATTTATTAGTTTCTATTTATGTTATTTTTAAAATTCATGAAGGAGAAATTTTATCTTAATATAACAAACACTGAGAAATAGAGATGGGGTGGGATTTGATAACCTGGCAATGTAAACTTTATTTTACCACTTTTCTGACTGAGAATGGGATTTTGATTAGACATTCATGCAACAACTGGAGTGACCCACCCATGTCCTTCCTCTTCCTAAACTTGAATTAAAAAGGCAATGTATCAGTGACTTATGCAGTTTCAATATAAATTGGTATAATTTTTCTGAAGAAAAAAGCAAACAAATGCCCCAAAAGTAAAATAAAAAAAAAGAAAAGAAAATGTGTATATACTATTGATTCTACTGCTTGGAATCTATCCAAAATAAATAATCGGATAATCCAGGTAATTAAAATGGAATCAACCTAAATGTGAACTGTAAAAGATTGATTAAGTAAATTAGGTTATATCCATATGGCTATTATTGCTTAATTCCAACCATGAAAAATCATCACTATTGACAATTGTTCTAAGTTAAGGTCAAGTGGAGCATTATTCTTGATTAGCACCCCTTGGGATGGGGAACAGGTACTCTATGTGGGTAGTCTATACCTCATACTTCATGAAATGCTTAAATATGTTCATCTCCTCAACTATGTGAGACAGGGAAGCTGTTCCACTAAGCTGATATGACTGTTTGCTACCCATGTGCCTCCAGTGGGAAGGTTCAGTTTGATTACCAAGTAGGAAGTTACTCTTTACATGTAATGGAACTTTAAATACCATAGTATAGCAAGATGTAAAAAGAAGATATAAATAAGATGGCCCACAGAAATCATCTTTGCTTTACCTGTGCCCTAAAGAAAAAAATTTGATTAAGAAACTAGCTAAGAAAGAAGCAGTCTTTGATGACTCAGAGAATTACATAAAGCAGCCACAATTGTAAAATTAAAATTTCTTCACATATAGGCTATATATTTTTTATGAATGCTTTTACACTTAACTCCAAGTGTTAAAGTGAGAAGCAATCGAAGCTAGAAATTCTCACACTTTTTATGGAGTTCTTTCTACCTTTGAAGGTTTCAAATGTCTGCTCATTATAGTTTTAAATGCACTTATTTACATCTAGCATTTATTTTCCTTTTTCTACATGTAAATAATGCGTTGGTAACATCATACATTTGCTTTGGAGAAGATGCTGTTTTGTCACAGAATAGCTTTGGAGCAGTAGTCAAAAATCTTTTATTAACACACTAGAGGCCTGGTGCATGAAATTTGTGCACAGGTGCAGTGCCTAGGCCTGACAGGTGATTGAAGTGTGAGCATCTGGTGTGGAAGGGCAGGTCCCAGCTAAACTCTGGGCCCTGGACAGCACCTGGGCCCTGTGCCCCTGTGCTCCCCCCTCCGCCTGAGTCACGGTGCCTGAGTCCCCACATGGAAATGCTGTGAGCATGGCCAGATGCTGTGGGCTTGGGGGCAGCATGGGCCTCTGGGCCACCCAGTGGTGCTGCACAGAAGATGGGCAGGCAGCACGCTCTCTCCCAGCAGGCCTTGCAGACTGGTTACTGAGCAAATTCACGGGGAGCCCTACCAGCCCCTGTGGTCCCGGTGGCTGTGGCCCAGCTTACCCAGAAGATGCCTTGTGGGCTCCTTGTGGTTGTCCAGCACCTGAGTGCTTCCCTGGCATGTGAGCATCCGGGGAAGGTGCCAGGGGGCATGAAAGCAAGCTTTGTGGACACCCCGCATTCTCACCACACCTCCGTCCCCATCATCCCCAACCCCAGGTAGCTGGAGAGAGGTTGCAGTGCATCGCTGACACCCACCATATTCCGTGCCGCCCCTGGTCATCAGCACACGTCATAGCCATTGTTCCAACTCCCGGTTGAAGGGAAAATTTGCATATTAGGTTTTTATTATATAGGATTCCAAGAGTATCCCTCTCTACTTGAGATGACTGGCCCTTCTGCTCCCCAGTGGCAAGTCTCTGCTCTTAATACTCTCTGTGTCCCAGCAGTGCCCAACAGTAGAAGATACTAAACCAATGTTTGTGGCAGGAAGAACACTCTGAGGACAATCCCTACTCCATCTAAGTTGTTCTATTCATTGTCCCCTGAGTACATTTTGCCCCTTCTCCCTGCCCATTGGTTGCCATCTATCCTAGTACATTGATTAAAATCTGTTTCTTCCCTAAGTGTCACTACTTTTATTATCCTCTATTGGTTAGCTGAGGCACCACCAATTCCTCTTTCTTTAAACACCTTGGGGGTTTTTGTCAGTTCCATTTCCAATATCACATGACATCTTGCATTACAAACTTTCATAATTACATGCATTGCATATCAGTAATGGTTCTTTCATATAAGCAATATACTGGTGGAGATGGAGGCTCACATAATTAACAGGAAGCTTGTACAGCAGGCTACAGCTCATGATCCAAGAGAATTCAGGAAGGATAAGATTTAGGAAGTAGGAACCACAATAACTTTCCAATAGCTAGAACAGGCATGGTCAGGTGGGATTGGGCACAAGTTCTCTCTATGGGTAGTCTAGAAGGGAGGGAGCAAACAGTGGTATTGAATTTACACACATGAAGAGGGAGGAGATTTCCAAAAAGGAAACTGAAGGATCACTAGGAAGAAGCATGAATGCTGAACAGCCATCTATTTACTAAACTCTAAGTAGATGATTAGCCTTATACTACTTCATCTGTTAAAAGAATGCTTGGACAATAGGTGGTCATATATGTGTTAATAGAAATAAAAATATATTAATATTTTTGAGATGATATTAATAGCTATTTAAATTGTATAGCTGGGCTAGATGTACCCATGAAAGCAGTCATTATTCTGAGGCTCACATGAGTCAAAACCAGGTATGCAGACCCATCTAGAAAGCTATTTTCTAAAATCTGTAATGCTTGTGCACTGAGGGTTGTGCACAAACTGGGAAGCCCACACATGAACAGAGAATGTATATAATAATGCTTTGAGTGCGGTATCTACTGAAGGTGTTTAGTCAATTAGCAATGGTTTCTCCACTCCAATTAAAGTTCAGGCTTCTCTACTAGAGCAGAGGGTGTTTTACATTTGCCTTTTTTATTTGTCCTTTATTTATTATCCAGCTTTGTCCAAAAACTTCACAGAGGAAAGATAAAGCCTTATGTTTAAATCTCTTTCCATTGTTAAGATAAGAATCTTTGGTGATTCTTAGGTGATCCAAGTGTTTGGTTTTCACTACAGCCAAAGAATTGGCTTATGGAACTATTTTCTTTTTTAAAAATATGTATGTATTTATTTTTAGAAAGAGAGAGAGAAACATCGATTTGTTGTTTATGCATTCATTGGTTGATTCTTGTATGTGTCCCAACTGGGGATTGAACCCCCAACCTTGGCGTATTTGGACGATGTTCTAACCAACTGAGCTACTAGGCCAGGGCCTGGAGCTATTTTCTTTAGGTTGACATCTTTATGATTAAGAATTTAAACAGACTAAATTATGTTTTAGTAACAACTTTTTTTTAAAAAATTATACAATGAATAATCCTTACCAGCTGCTAAATTTGAAAAAAAAAAAGTAACAAAAGGAGTTAACAGCAACAAAAATCCCAGCCTTTTCAAAATTCAGAAAATTTGATGGAAAGTAAATGCATTCACCAGACTCATTTTGTGCAAAGAATATTTTCAGTGTTCTGCGGCATTACTTAGTTATGTCCTCATTTCGGAGTTAAACCATACAAATAAAGGAAAAATGACAGGGCCAGGAAACTTGTATCCAACCCCCTTTCCTATGGCTGTGCCAGCTGCCAAAGTGCTGACCAAAGTTGAAAGGTCAGCTGTCATCTGTGGCAGATGTGCTTTATTATGATAAACACCTAGATGCTGGAAATGGTTCTGTTCAAAGGTGGTTTATAATTTAGGTGAGAAATAGAAATGTGAGGGAGCTTCACTGCTGGGAATCTTATTTCATATCCGAATGCAATTAACCAGCTGATAAACAGCCTTTTGTTTTCCATCTGAATGACCAATGTCCATTCATTTGGGATACTACCTTGTCAAATGGGCAACAATAACAATAAAGTTTATGTATCTTGGCTCTCTTGGACTCTAAAGCCTGTAGTAACCTCCTGCACTGAAATCAAGAACCTGAACTGAACATGCAAGATAATTATCTCCCAGAATCCACCCGATGGCAAGGCTATGCAAGATTATCTTGTTTTGAACTGGAAATAAGGATAAAACTATCTCTTTCTTTCAATGACTTTATTTTAGTATAATCAGAATATGATTACAAGCCTTAGTAATCTCTATTCCACATGCTTCTGTAGCTTAAATTTAAAGATATACATAATCACATTTCAAAAGATAATCTAAGTTTTAAAAAGCTATGACAATGTCTTATTTTCTGAACTGTAGCCATTTTCTAAGCACTTGTTGGCACTGCTGAGGACTTTTTGTCTTCTCTTCACAAGCTTTAAGTTTTGCATCTTCACTTTATTTTTTTCTCCTCATCCATTCACTTTCCAGAGTGCCATATTTATCCTTTTTTCTAAATAATGTCATTCATCCCTGTTTTTGCTTAATGTAATATTTTCATAAATGAAGATGACAAATTATTATTTTTTTCTTACAGTGATGATTGAAAAGAAAAGCCAGCAATATCCTCCTGCTTAGTTTCCCTTGAAAAGAATGAGCAAAGTGATCTGTGTAGCCTTGCAACCAGGGGACAGATTTCCTGTGTAGGGCTCACAACTCTGGAAAGGTAATTGTTATTGTCACAGAATTTCTGGTAAAAATTTGTGGAAGAAGGGAAATTACATGATTAGTGTTGACTCAGATATGACTAGGTCAGCTTACGAAGGGAAATCAATGTAGATTTTTGTTTATCTCCCAATAAATATTTATTGAGTACTACTATGTGCTATTTACTTAAGGATAGAAAAATGAATAATGTATGGCTTCGGTTCCCAAGGACTTAGTAATCTAGCATGTTTGCTTGTGCTGGTAGAGTAGTGGTAAATAATGATGATGATTGTCAATAATTTTGGTTTCGTTGGGAAATAAGTATATCACCTGGGACTTGTACACATATCACCTGAAAAATCCATTCTAGTTCAGTTTCTTAACCTATTTTATCTATTACCATAGATTTGCTTAAATGTGATGCAATAATCATTTATGTCTATCACAAATCTTATTTACATGTAATGAGCATCAAAGTTTTCAAATGATTTCAAAGGCAAGACCTAGAATGGTGAGCTCAAACTTTAACCAAATGTAGTAAACTTTTCTCAGCTCCTACTCTGGAAAAGTTCTTCATGCTCTATTAGAAATATGCTCATTAGCATAAAGGACAATACTCTTGTGGACATGGGGCATGCATATATATCTAAATAACGTACATGGATAGATGACAGTCAATGTGGTATAGACCATGTATCAAAAGTAAAAATTCAATACTTCAGTTTTAAGTAATAGATCATTATGGAGTAGGGTTAGTCATAGAGAAAGGTCATTATTAAATTTTACATATACTGAAATATTGAACTTGTTTTAGTAAAAAAGGAGGAAGATATGCATGTTCACAATAATGAAAACAGAGAAAGAAAAAACAACAATATTGAAAAATTAATTTGGTGAATCATTTTAGGAAATGTCATACCCACTTAGCACTTTCACTCCAACCAAAGAATTGGTTTGTGGCACTATTTTCGTTAGGTTGAAATCTTTATGATGAAGAATGACTACTATTGCTATGAATTGATTTTCCAGCAACAATTACTTTTACAGTATTAATAATTCTTACCTTCTCTTGTTTACCAGTTTAATTTCTTACCTGCTAACTACATTTGGTAAATAGTTATTACGAATCATGAAGTGTTTGTTGACTTTTACATGACTAACCCTGGGCTGGGTTTTATAGAGCAGAACAAACATGTAAGACATGATCTTTTCCTACAAGGCTGTTCTAATATTATTGGGTAGCCTACTGTCTGGCAGTAGATCTGAAAATATAATTATTGGTAATATGGAAAGAGATATGTTGTTACTGTAGGAAGACAGAGCTTATATCTAAGGAATTTTGTGTCATAAGTCACATAGACTCTAGTAAAATGACCAAAAACAATTTCTCTAATCATACTTGAATTTTCTAGCCATCAAAGGGTGTTTGCTTTCAAAAGGATTATTATACTACTGGCTTTCTTGCCTTGGGGAATGTCAATTAAATCCAAATTATGTTATAACAGAGATTTTGCCATTTTTAGAGACAGGATAAGTGAACTAGAAATGACAAAAATCAAATGAGAAATGAAAAAATGTTTGATATTTACCTGTAAATTGCTTATTTTTCAGTTAACTGTTGGTTTACCCTTGTCAAATGTCCCCATTTGCAGATGTTTTTTAAAAATCAGGCTGTTTTTGTTTCCGGTTAAATACAATTTAGTTTCTTTTAATGAATGTTTGTGCCCAGTGCTTTCTGAAGAGCTTTGTGTTATCTCTGGTATCTACTATGTACTTATACAGAATCACTTTCAGTGTGTGTGGCCTGGTTCCTAACAATTTATCGATTCATTGAATTTCAGAAAGACATCAATTGATTCTTTATGCGGCCTGGCAGAGCAATTCTTAATTTTTGTCTGTTTCTTTCCAACATCAGTCTTAAGAAGAAAGGGTTTTCCTTACATTGCCTTTAAGGGTTTACTGAATCATACATCACCAAGAACATTTTAAAGCTTTATTTTGTCTGTTATTTAAAGTGGAAAATGCTGTCCCTTAAGACACTGGCACTCTGTCATTTGCCTCCAGAATATTTCATGGTTCACTGTCAGGACTGCTGATTTTTCTAGAAGAACATATTGGCCATTTTGGAGAAGTTTTCTGTAACATTCAGATGCTGAACATGTAGTAGTATTTACATTTTAGACTGACTGAAAAGTATATTGGAGCATGATGACACTAAGGGAGGCTTGTGAGTTGGAAGACAAAAGGGATAAATTTAATTGAAGTAGCGTTTAGCATCATTAGAATGTATTCCTGTGATTTTATTTTTCTTCACTGGTTTCTCTTCCTCCTCTTCCTCCTCCTCCTCCTCCTCTTTCTTTTTCTTCTGGTGATTTCAAATCACTATAAAAAGTTTAAAGTGAGAGGAAAATCCTCCTGTACCCTGTGATGTTGATAAATAAGTCATTGGAATATAGTAGGAGTTAGCACGCATCTGAGGATGATTGTGCCATTAAAATTGCATCCAGTCAATCTGGGAACACCTCACCTGAACTGCTCTGTAAACACTCTTCTCACTAAAACACCTGTTTGGTCTGATGGTGCATATTTCAAAGGAATAAAACAAAATGCATTTAAAACAACCCATTAAAATTAAAGTATGACTGCATTCTGAATGGAATTGCTAATTACAACTCTAAAAAAGAATAGTTTCCCCCTTTTGTACAATACATTGTATTGATGACTATAACTGGGCAGATTCTAGGGGAAAGAAACTAATTTCTTATACTATTTTCTACTAGATTATCTCTTTGCTGGTCATTTGGTGAGCAACGCATTGATCCACTAAGTTCTGAAACTAGCTGGCTCTCAAATGAGAGCTAATCTGCAAATGGTACTATGGTGAGAAAGGAAGAATGGAGAAGTACAAGAAAAGAAGATAAGAAAATAATAACCATGTTCTAAATCTAGAAACCATTGGCGGCTCCATAGTCAGGGACCTCAGCATTGGAAGAGACTTGAAGTGCCCAGTCAGCCCAGTTGAGACTTGTCTAGATCAGTGGTCGGCAAACTCATTAGTCAACAGAGCCAAATATCGACAGTACAATGATTGAAATTTCTTTTGAGAGCCAAATTTTTTAAACTTAAACTATATAGGTAGGTACATTGTTATTAACTTAATTAGGGTACTCCTAAGGCTTAGGAAGAGCCACACTCAAGGGGCCAAAGAGCCGCATGTGGCTCACGAGCCACAGTTTGCTGACCACTGCTCTAGGCCATTAGCAGAGTACTTAGATATCACCACTGGAATAATTCTTCTGTTTCAAAGAACATCTTTCCCAGCCTTATATTGTGTTGTGATAATTTAATAGAACCCCATGTACTTTGGCATGAATGCTGAGCACAATAGAGCCAAACTTCATGCTAATACTGTAGCTTCCCACAGGAATCTTCAATCTAAAAGTTACATGGTAAATCTTGGTTGGATGAAGTATATGATTCAAATGTTATGTACAGGAATGCTACTTTTATGTTTTTATTTATCTTTCCCTGTTATTCTATTACTAGAGACCCAATGCACGAAATTTGTGCAAGGGCCTTGGCCCTGGCCCCCGCTCGCGGCCACAGGGCCCCTGCCCACTGCCACTGTGGCCCCCGCCCACCACTACTGCGCCTGGGGGGCCTCTGCCACCTCTGCTGCAGCCCCATCCCCTGTGGCTTTGTCCGGAAGGAAGGATGTCTGGAAGGATGTCTGGTCCAATTAGCATATTATGCTTTTATTATTATAGATTGTTTAGCTATCAAAAGATACTTTTTTTATTTTGTTTAATTAGTGGTAAATAAAAATCTTAGTTCCATCTTCAGTATCCCATAGCATATGCTTTTTAAAAAATATCCACTCATTTATTTCAGCATCTACTAGAATATTTCAAATGAATAAACCAGCTTTCTTTTTGACATGCTTAGGAGAGACCCTGGGTTTGACTTTTTATGCTTTCAAATGCACTATGAATCATTCTGCCAAACACCTGCCCTTCATGGAAATGATATATTTTATTTACACTCTTAGAAAAAAATCTATGCATGGCCATTATTAATCACTCACACCTTTAAGAATGATCTTACCTTTTAGCTATTCATCAAGATCAGTATCCTTGCTGTTAGAAAGGGACACATCATAACTGATGTACAATCGAACTGTAGATGGGTCCAAGTACATGGCTGTTACCAAAATAGATGTCTCTTCATTTTAGTATTACATACACATGTGCGTGCTTTTACGCACGTGTGCGCACACACACACACGCACATACACACACACACACACTGTATCTATTCTGGCAATTTTCTTTAAAATTCTAAAGTGCTAAAACTTGTCAGCTTTCAAATAATACATCACCATGATATTGAAGGCAGCATACCATTTCCAAAAGCTGCTCTCACCCTGAGCAAGGCCAATAAGACTTTGGACAACTGGAATTAACAAAGGTTCAAAGAACAGTCTATGATTTTTATCAAAATCAAGAAAGGGAATAATTGGTAAATAATTCTCTCTGATTATGTAAGAAATCAAGATTACTTTATAATTGAATCATATCTCCATCCAAAAATGAAAAAAAATAATTTTTGCTGCCTTTGACAAAAACTGTAATGCATGCTTTTCATTAGTGAAGAAGTATTAAATGCATTCACAAAATATGTTTAAAGGCATTTCATCTTTTGGCGGACAATCTCATACATCTCTAAAATGTTGCTTGGAAATTAGATGATGCTTAAATCAGCCACAGGGGAAAACAAAACAAGTCAGGGTTTGACATACCTTTAATTCTTTCTTCTTCTTGAGCTACTACAATAATTTTTGCATTGAGATAAGAATTAGAAAAGGACAAAAGTTTGGATAGCTTCCCCTAAAGTTTTAGATAATATAGCAAAATGAGGTAGAAAGTGCTTCAGAGCAAGATCCTTATAGCACGACATCTATCCTCAAATATGCATAAGCTTAGAAATATCACTAAACTAAATATGAGAGAGATATTTAATTAGACCTGGTAGTTCTTTAAGATTACAAGATAAAAAACAACCATTATAGTAAGGCTTTGAATCTTAGAGTTCATAAACTCTATTTTCAACAGAATGTTTAACTTCCTGGGCATTAAGGGAATTACTTAATAGAAAAGAAAATAACCCATAGGGGGGGAATGTAGCCAGCAGTAAAGCTGCTTCAGCCCTAATCTAGCAGAAAGACAAATGATTCTATGTTCACTCCAAAACTCTATGCTAAGAGTTTCCCATTTAGTATTTTTCTTTACTGGCATTAAAAGCTTCCAAGGAGAAGGGATGGAATAGTGAGCTTGTCATGAGTATTCTTCTTACTGATTTCCTCACTTCATGAAAGGAAGATCTGCAAGACACAGGATCTAATCCCAATTTCGATTTCTGTCACTAACCCCAAGTGCAAAGGAAGGCAGCCACATGGAAGAAGTTGCTGCTGGTAATAGGGATGTATCATCCACCATTAAGTGTCTCAAACACAGAGAAGCAACCAATCCTTCTCAAGGCGTACTTATTTAGTGAATGCTTACAGTGTGCCTGGAGTTGAGTGGAATTCTGGAGGGAACATAAAAATGGCAAGCAGAGGTTCCCTTTTTCAAGGAGCTCATAGTCTAGTATGAGGCTTAAGTAAAAATAATATTATAATGTGACATGGGCCACAGAATAGATATGAATACAATTCCACAGAAACAAGTACTCTTCAGAATTATGCCTGCTATAGATTTTGCACACATTGTGAAAAAGCTATTCTATATCTTTAAGAAGTATTTTCCTGAGAACTTAAATAATTTTGCCATCTTTTATGTTACGTTGCTTTAAGAAGAGCATCCCACTATTTCCGGTATCAAACTAACAGTCTCATTCAGTGAGGATGTTACTCTAAATCATGATGAATTCAGAGCAGCCATGTTCATTATCTCCATGTCTCAGGAAGGCAAAGGCAAGACAAAGGGGTACCCCTCCAGGATCTGGATCACTTTAGCCTGCTCATCTCAACCATCAAACCTGCACAAGATGCGCCCAGAGTTGCCAGCAAGCAGATGATTAGAGATAAAACCTCTCATCTTGGGATAAATTTAATCCAGGCAGCATGTGCTCTTGGGTCATTTTATAAATATAGTATTTAGAACAGCATACTCAGAGCTCCAGCAGTGCCTATCTAGTATTGGAGCTAAAATATTCAAATAGAAATAAAAATAACTCTCCAGAAAGTCGCCGGCATTCATGTTTCCATTGGAGAATAATTACAGAAGTCGGTTTAAAAGCTGGAATAAGAGAGGTTGAAATACCACCTCTCATTCTCCCCCCCACCCCCCACCCCCACCACACACAGACATACTAATGACTCGTATTATAGTCTTAAAGCAAATGTTCCCAAACTTTCTCTTTCCTGGATTTATGGTGTCACAATTACTGACCAGGGCCAGACTCTGGAAGGAAACAGATATTCCTCTTGGACAGTGAGGAGACCCAACTATATATCTCCTGGGGCAGAAGAATTTAGCCCTGAAGGTTTAATATATCTAATCCTGTTATTTTCTAATCCTATTACTGTAATGTTGAGGTGAATTGAATATATTTCCTTCTTTATCTCTGTGCAATCTCACATTTCCTGCAATGATGACTTTTGGCTGACCTTACAGTTTTGCTTATTTAATTCTTAATAAGAATATATACAAAGTCTAAGTGAAATCTCTTTATAGTAACACACAGTGCATGTATTCTTATGATGCTTCATGACAAAGCTGGGGAGGCAGTGACTACATATCCAGCCCATGATTTCTTGCCTTTTATTAACCAGACTTATTATTACATCAAAAGTCATGGTTTCCACCGACGACAGATTCAGCACACACATATTCACACTAATGTGTATGTTTATGTGTGTGTGAAATAGCTACACAATGAGTTATTGAGTTGTATATAGAAAAAATGCTAGGCAACTGCAAATTACAAGGATATAATGCCATCGAGGGGTTTAATGGTGACATCATAAATCACAAGAGCAAAGTATAAATGGACTGTGCTACCCCACAACCCTAAGATGCCATTAGAGCTGTGATTTTAAGTCATCTACTCTCCCCAACTACCATTCCCTCATACATGGAGAACATGTGTTATAATTTTCATCTTCTCTAATTCTCTCTAATTTCCCTCACCAACTTCAAACCTTTTTTCTAAATACAGAAAGGATCTCTTTTCCTCGCTGTGCTCCTAGAGCAGCTATATTTAAATGCAATAATGATTGTCCCAAGTTGAAATATAACAATCTAAAAATCTTGCCATTCTGGGCTAGGTGTCACACTCGTGCAATATGACAGGCAGGTGACAATATGCCCAAGAATTCAGAGATTTCTCCTCTTGGATAGCAGTGTGCTTCATGTACCTATTCTCTTTTCCTCTAGGATTAGGAGATCTAATTACATGTAGTGTCCCCATTATGAATGCAAACATAGAAATGATTTTATAGTTTTTCTTTTTATTCACATCTGAATTCAGAGAATCTAAGTAATATTCTAATTTATTTCTTATGCTCTAAACGATTTCCCTTTCTCTCTCATGCTGTCTTAGAGAAGAATATATTAACATGAAATAATAACTGGCCCAAACTTTTGTCCAAATTTAAATATGTCCTAGCAAAGCCAGCCCCATTCTAATTGCTTTTATGTGTCACTTTAAAGCTAGGAGACCCAACCTCCTGGCAGCTTTGCTTTGGGTCTTAATTAGCCACTTAACTGCAAAATGGTTGGCACCCTAGTCCTTTCATCAGTTATTACCCAAATAGCATCACCGACTGAGGATAAAGAAAAGAAAGATCCCACATGTAGCAGGTCTTTCCATCATTATTGCCCTTTCATACAAAGACGGGGGTTCCCAACTCTAATTAAGGCTACATTTTTTAATAGGCAATTGGCATCTTATTCAATTCACTCTCACTGCGGTGTCTTAAAGGACAAACAATCACAGTAATGTGTGTACAGTGCTGTGGAATTTGCAAAATATTTTCATCTACATTATTACTCTTACATGGTGTCTGTCTTAGCCATGATTTAATCCATATGTTTTTATTGGTTTCTGTGATTTAAGATGTGGGTTTCATTTGTCTTTATTCCACTTGCCTGCATATCCACTGAGCTACCTAATAAAATTTACCAAGTCAGTCTTCAGTATTTAAAAGGGGGTTGGCATCTTTATTTTTTGTTGCAATTCCAGGAACTGGACATACTGAGAAAGCACCCTATAAGGAAAGGCACTTCTTTGCAAGCCAAGGTAAGTGACTTGTGGGTAGAAGAATCACCTCCTTCAAAGAAGACAAATTAATTATGAGAGAAAAGGAAAGAAGGAAGATGGAGCAGAGGAGGCTTGGTTCTGTGAACATAGAAATAAGCACATAAGGGAGAAAGAGACCATAGATATAGATCAGACTTCAAAATGAAGGCGAGGGTCCAAACACAATGTGACTTAATAGGTTTAGCATTTTAGGAGAATACCCTCAATTAATGATTTGTACACAATATGTATAACATCTTTTGTTTCACCTTGAAAAGAAAATAAATAATTGTGGCGCCTTCCTAACAATCAACACTTTTTTTCTTAGCCTATCCTTTCAAACTGGTTTCTTTAATTTATGCTGTAACACTTTTTATCAATTTTAAATGCAGGTACCATAGCCTGTCGTTTTAAATCAGAAGGAATTACATGAACTCAAAAGTTCCCTGACTTTCTGAAAGACAGAGTGATTCAGACTTTGCACATCCCAAATTTCCTCTGCCCACCACAGCCCATGGAGCTGAGAGCCGAATCTACAGACTGACCACTAATGATATTCGCCCAAGCTCTGTGATTTTGAAAACTGGGAAATAGGGAATTATGTTTATGAGATTCATTCCTAAACTGCACTATAGCTTATAAAATATTAGTATTTACAATATCCTGGAACAACAAACACAGCATGGAGGCAGCTGCCTCATCAGAGAATGAGCCACAGTGATCTCAGACATTTGTCTATTTATCATGGACTGGATTTCCTTGGCAAACAGTTCAATAAGAAAGATGAGCGCAGCAGTTCAATATTATGCTTGTGGTGAAACTTGCCCATCAATGCCAAGTAGTACTCCTACTTGGTAAGCCTGTTGCCTTTAAGTTTAAGTGTGAATAGCAATGTGGAACTGAGATCAAATGAACTCAGTCCTTTGATTAAATGGGAAATGAGAGGTATTTTGAAGAGAACACTTTTTTTCCCCTGCCAATGTAGGCAGTATCTACAATTAAATCTCAAAACGAGCAGATGTGTGCTTACAGGAAAGATTTGAAAGAAAAATCATTAGGGACTATTATGTTTCAGCTATCCCAAAACAAACTTGTTCCTGTGAAATATATGAATTATTAACTCTGCCAACACTAGAGCTTTTTGCCTCCCATAAGTTATTATAGAGAACCCGGTTTTTAAGTGTATTATGCATTTGAATTTGTCCAACAAGTTTTCTTTTTCTAAATAAAAATTTGGTAATCTACTGGAAGAGGTTGATGATCATGGAATTGCTGTGAATTACTCAGCTAACAAAGGATTTAATTTTTTATATCAAACAAATCAGCACTTTACCTAGTTCCTTTCACATAGCAGATATGGAATAAAATCTTACCTAATAATAAACATGTAAATTAACCATCTCTCTGTTATGCTTACCAGCCAATCAGGAGAGTATGCAAAATAACCCAACAAAGATGGCGGTTAATTTGCATACGTAGGGGCAAAGCGGCAGAGCCAAGACTGAAGGCTCCATCCGGAGCCGTGAAGACTGAAGGCTCCATCTGGAGCCAAGGCCTGGGTCCCGGGTGCCGGAGGAAAACCGGTGCTGGCAGCCAGGGGAAGGGAAGGACTATTGCACAAATCTCTTCGTGCAATGGGCCTCTAGTCTATATATATATATTAAAGGCTAATATGCTAAGTGTCCCTCTGCCCATTTGACCAGTCTCTATGATGAGCACTAACCACCAGGGGGAAGATGCTCGATGCAGGAGCTGTGGAGTTGCAGTGACTTGGCAGTGGCAGTTCTTGAGTAACGCACCCTGAAACCAGAGAGAAGGGAGCCTGATTCCTCATGGGGCCGCGCAATTATACCTTTGGCCATGGGTTATGTTGTTGCTGGGGTACTGTCGGTTCTGAATCTGGTTTACTGCAAACTTGTGTTTGTGTTCCATACCCTGTATGATAGCAACTTTGCAGAGTGCCCTCTCACACTCTGGGACCCCTCTGGGGATGTTGGAGAGCCAGTTTTGGTCTGATCCCTGCAGGCCAGGCCAAGGGACCCCAACTGCCTGAGGGACCTGGCTCATCGCGTAGACACACTTCAAGCTATAGCACCACCTAGTGCGTTGGCCAGGGCAGAACCCCTGGAGGTTGGCTCCAGGGCATGTCTGGCTTATCTTGCTCAGTCCCACCCTGCCGGCCACCTTCTAATTAATTTCCTTTCAATGTACACAAATCTGTGCGCTGGGTGCTAGTGTTTGAATAAACAAAATAGATGAGAAGAACTTGTTCTCATAAGAGAATATTTTTAGTTAATGCTACATGGCTCCATCTTTAATATCTAAAGAATTTATTTTAAACATTTCAAAAGGAAGAACTCTTTTATTTTTGTTTAACTACCAGAATAATTCCACAGTGCAACTGCTTACCCACAAAGAACCTTAGATTAAGGAATGTCCACCTAAAATTAATGTGTAGCCAAAAATATATATAAAAAAATCTTAGTGTGTCTGAGTATTCATTAGTGCTTCAATGTGGTAGACATTACCCTGAAAAATAAAATGGACAGTCTCTTTGCCTTTATCTAGATTGAGTTTATTCTGGCCAAAAAACCACATTCCAGAGTTTTTCTAATCTCTTTATTGGTGGGTTCATTTGTGAGCAGCCACAACAGTTGGCTGAGGTCAGAAAGTCAGCATTACAGTGCTTCCAGTCTCTTGGGAGTTATAATTTTTATATAAAAATGGAGGTTATTCAGGGTGGTTTTCTCCCCCAGCTGCTTTTAAGCAGACAGTAATGCTGGCCACCCAGTGGATGAGACCAGGATGGGTGGAAGTGAAAGAAACTATTTGACGTGACTCAAAAGGAAAAAATGCAAAGTTCTTAGGGAAAATTCTGTCATGGCAAGAGGCCATGAAATGGTTGTCCTAAGCAATTTATGTTGTATTTCAGATTATAAGCCTACCTCTGATGATCAGCTCTTAAAAATGAACACAAAACAGAAGACAGCTTTGAGAGGTGCTGTGGAAAGGGGAAGGTATGTATTAAGGCTATGTTAAGTTCATAGAATAAAGAAAATAGATGAATCCTATCTCATAAATATTTTAAATTATTTTTACATTCTATTTTGAAGGGTATTGAAATGTCAATGAATAATTTAATATTAATTGAGTAAAACTTATGTAAGCTATTCTATTCACATGATTTTATAAAACTGAATTTATATAAATAGAACTATTGAGTATAATTGCTCTAAATATTAGAAGTAATAAAATATTGGAAGATAGTGTGATTTTATGATTTGATTTTGTTCATAAATGAATCAGTATCTTTTCTTTAAATCACCAATTAAAACTTTAATTAAACCTTGGCTAACATGGTAAAATTTATTTTATCAGGTTGCCATTAAGAGTATATACATGCCTATTCTTATTATGTTACTTAAAATATAAGATTTATGAGATTAGGAAAATAGGCTTATTTACTGCTATATCCCTAGCACCTACAACAGTTCCTGACAAATATTAAATATTAGATAAACTGCTGAATAAATGCACCTAAATCATTTTTCTGACCAGAGACAGACAAACTACAAGACCAAAACAAATGAAAACCAATCATACAAAAACAAGCACTGTAAGTTAGAACCCCAAAATTTCAATGTTTTTGTAGTTTACCCAGTGATTCTGATGATCATCTAATTTTTGTAAACACCAACTGCATCCAGTTTGGTTCTATGTATTAGTAACCACAAATGAGCTCACAGATATGGAACTCAATTTAAAAAAAATAATAATTTGAATATTTTTATAAGAGGCACACTGTGGGAAGCCACTGCTTGCTGATACTATCATGAGAGTGCACCAAGGAACACGGAAGGCCGATGGACCTTGGGTTTTAGCAGGGCGGATGCTAAGCACCTTGTCTGTTGAGATAGTGCTGGCTCAAGGCAATTCCCTAACCTGATAATCCTTTTACTATTTACCAAACTTTACCTTTGATATGCCTGTATACTTTGCTAAAAGGCAAATGTGTATTCAAGAAAATAAATAGTGGACCAGGCCAGAAAGCTGTGTATCGCTTCAAGAAAGAGGCTCGAACTGGCCCCCAATGCCTTCTAAATTCATATTTCTTGTATAGCATTTTCATTTGTGCGTTGGCCCCTCCTTCCGATCCTGAACCCCGCTGCAAAGGTCACAGAGCACACTCAATACAGTTATCTGAAATTTCGACATCATACTCGATCATTGTATTCTCATTTCATTTTGCTCATATTCCTCCCTGTCTGGTAAATAAAGACTTTTGGGTTTTCAGAATCTTAATTTATATGAAAACTTTTATTTGATATTTATTTTCTTTATTTTATTTTTATAATTCTTATGTAAAATGTAGTGCATTTTTGAGATTTAAAAATTTGAAAGCTAAGAAACTTGAACCAGATGTTCTTTAAAATGCATTCCTATTATGAAATTCTCTGAAGCCACTCATAATAAAATCTCAAGTCTCCAATATTGATTTTACTTATTTATTTTACTTTTTAGGTTAATCCTCACCCGAGGACATTTTTTTTTTTTCCATTGGTTTTTAGAAAGTGGAAGGGAGAAGGAGAGACAGAGTGAAAGAGACACATTGATTGGTTGCCTGCCTCCTGAATGTGCCTCTGAAGCCAGGGACCAAACCTGTAAATAAGGTACATGCCACTGATCAGACTCGAACCTGGGACCCTTTAGTTTGCAGGCCTATGCTCTATCCATTAAACCAAACCAGCTAGGACTCTAATATAGATTTATTGGAGAGTGGTATGCAGAAGACACAAGCAAATTAAGAGTTTTATGCCTTGAGGGTTGGAACTAAATCTGTCTTCAAATGCAGGAATCTCATGAGTTATCTTAACTGTTAATGTTTGTGTGTTTTTTAAAGCACATTGAAAACTGAGATTTACCTCTTTCAGGTTACCATTGTGATACTAGATTCAAAAATCCTTTGTGTATTGAAGTAGTCTTTAAAAGTCCGTGATCTGGCCTTTGCTTCTCTTTTCAGCCTCATCTCTCTAAACTTTATTCAAAATATTATCAGGTCTGAAGGTGAGACCTACTCACCAAAAAAACAGAAAGCTCTCTGAATCCTACCCTTTTGGTTGTTAATGGAAACTTCATTACATAGGCATGGTTAATTAAATCACTGGCCATCAGTTGACCTCCAATGCCTCTCCTGTTTCTAGAGGTAAGGCGAATGTGGGGACTGAAAGTTCCAGTCCTTCAGTCACAATCAGCCATATCCTTAGGTGCTTCCCAAAGGTCACCATATTAACATAACCAAAACATCATTACCACTCTTATCACTTAGGAAATTCCAAGGGTTTTTATATAAGTAATATATCTTCTTATATATCAAAATATCTCTACTCAAAACTTTCTTATCTCCAATTCTTCAACTTAGTTCCCCTGTTTGTGATGGCCGTCTGAGTACCTGCATGAAGTTGGTCAGAGGCCCTTCAGAACCAGTTGTGTAATGGGCACTGGGACAAGAGACAGGTGAGTCCAAGAGCTGGTGCATGGCGACACAAAGACTAACTCATAAGAAGTATCAAAAATATTTGTGGCTTTTATCATCAGAAGTATGATACTATCAACACTGGTGGAGGAAGTTACCTAATCTGACAAGTTAAGAGAATTTTTAGGAACTTTTAAAATGGAGGCAGTTAAAATTAAAATGGCTGTAGTGGTTTGGAGAAGAATGCATAGAGGATGGCTTTTAGGCAAAAAAGTAGACTCAAGATAGGCAGTAAAAGTGAATAAGTATGCCTGAGAAGATAGTGGGGTAAGGATGAGGCAGGGAATTCTGACAAATTTTGAAGCACAATGGACATCTACATGGCTTGGGATCTGCAGGAAGAACTGATAGTTGTGATGGTTAATTGTATGTGTCAATTTGACCAGGATACCCAGTGGACACTATTTCTGTGTGTCTCTGTGAGAATGTTTCTGGAAGAGATTAGCATTTGAATCAGTATAAAAGATCCCCTTACCAGTGTGGATTTGCATAATCCAATTGGTTGAGGGACCAAAGAACAAAAAGGTAGATAAAAGGCAAATTCTCTCTTTGTTCTAGAACAGGACTGTCCATTTTCTCCTGATTTTGAACACTAGATATGCTGGTTTCTTAGGCCTTCCAACTCTGGGACTTACACCCTTTAGACTGGGAGTTACATGATCAGATCCCCTGGTTCTCAGGCCTTCGGACTCAGACTGGATTATATCCCTGACTCCAGCTTGCAGATAGCAGACCATGGGACTTCTCAGCTTCTGTAATTATGTGGGCCAGTTTCTATAATAATTCTCCTTTTATAGATATCTGTATTTATGCTATTGATTCCGATTCTCAATTCTCTGGAGAACCCTAATATAGTAGAGTAGAGAATACTGACATTTTTAAGACTGATAATTTGCAGAGGACTAATTCGCGGCAGTTTTTCTGGGTTGTAAATGCAAGCTGTTGCAATAAGAGCTGTGAACTTGAAATATAGTGATTGGTGTTTTGATTTCGTCTTTGCCACCTAGAGCATTTTTCTTAGCTACAAATGTAAGAGATGGAATAGAAAGTCTTTGAGCCTCTTTCAGTATTGATCTTTATACAATTATGATGGCAAATTAGAATCTTAGGATTCTGTAAATATCTAATTGAGGTATCCTTAAAAGTGTGGAATTGTGGGCAGTACTATATAAAACTTAAAATAAAATTTTTATATGTGCCTGTGATTGGATAGCTAAATGATCAAGTAGCAAATACGTGATGGAGAAGGTGATCTTGCAATGTATAGGGAAGAACTATAAGAAGTTGCATTTTAATATTGTCTAGGTAAGAATGTCAGTGAGGAAATGAATGAGAAAGAGAAGCATGGCGGGTAGATTTGGGTGATACCTACATTTTCATATATCAGGTATCTAGATTTATGGGAATGGACAAAGCTGTTAAAAATGTTAATCTAAGAATTTTATATTGGAGTCACATGAAGCTTCCTTCACAAATGAGTTGTATGAAAGGAAAATCTGAAAGAGTGGTTGAGTAGTAAAATGTAAACAACAAAAATCATGAGTGCTTTGATGTGTCCTTTAATTGAGTAAAGAATATACAAGAGTAAGAACCTTGCAAATGTTGAAGTGATATGGCAAAACCAGTGTTTTGTACAGAGAGCTACATTAGTGACATACAATATGCCATAGGAAAAAAACATAGGCAGGTTTTATTCAACATTTCAGTAGGCGAATTAAAAATAATACAACTAGAGTATTACTTTGACTCTTTCCAAAGCTTCCATTAGCTTGATACCAGAGACATTCTGCTTATTCTGGAGCTGACCTAATTATGACCAGAACTGGTCTTCACCTTGTGTCTGATAGAATGACGAACTATCCTTTGACACCATCTAGCTACTTCCTCTTCTTTTTATATTTTTAATATAATGCTATGTGAAATATCGTATTTGTGTGTGAATTTCGGTTAGACAGGATTAATCAGAGAAGAATGCAAGCAATGTTTTCTGTTCAAAAGATAAGTGTCAATGACGGGATGGCAGATGACTTCAGTATGCAAATATTTTGGCTTTCAGAGAGATAAGATGGATTCCAATACAAACTGCTTCCACCTGCAGAATTTCCTTAGTAAAAATATGGTCATGTTGTCTTTGGTCCACTTTCTTTATAAAGACACTCAATTTTCTTTACTGCGCTATAATGGCCCTGAGATGCATTCTTCATGACTAAGGTTAAGGTGGAGGATGCAGATGTAACACCATCCTATAAAACTGTAGTTTTATCCATCTGGATCAACTTCCATTCTACTAGTATCCATATGGGAAATAGCAAAGAAAGAAGAAATATGGCTTTCATTAGATTTGTAAAATATCCTGAAATAAAACAGAATAGATTGTCTATCAATTTGTTTATCATTCTGGACAAAGGAATGTGCCAATCACCCAAATATGTGTATATATATATATATATATATATATATATATATTTCCCCATACAATTGAATCTCCTTGATATTTACATCTGGATATGTTGTCCTATGGAAAAAGTCTTTAAAAGTGATCTATTGTTTTTATCTGGTTCTTTTCTTCCACAACTATGGCATATTGTAAATTGTCTCAAAGAGTCTTGTTACAATGTTTAGTTCTTTAATCTAATGTCAAACTGAAGGTTAGTTTGACCCATATTAAGTAAGGGTAGAAAAATAGAAAAGAAGACATTGGTGATAAACAGTGTTTAATTCCTTTTTGGAGAAAACAATCAACTCTCTTTCTGTAGGATAAAGCTGAAAATGGCAAAAGCTCACACAAATATACAGTGCTGTATCATTCTCGGGTTAATAAAAACAATTTATATGCAGGGTAGTGAACAAGAGAAAAGTTATGGAAAACATTTCTCATCCAAGGACAGTACACCAGATGTGCTAAGACTTATGGGAGCAATCAGAGGTGCCCAGTCTCTGCAGCGGGCCTCATTAAGTTAGACTGTGACCCAGCACCTTCAACTTATTAAGCTGTCTAGAACTTCAGTGATTAAAACCAAAGAAAGGTCAGAAACAAACCTTTGGAATGTCCCTGCATGGATTATTTTCTTACAGGCACTAGAACTTCATGGAGATACTTCTCATGATGCATGGACTTTTAAAAATTGGATATTTGAACTGGATTTACCCAGAGATTAAAAAAAAATTTAGTAGCTGGCACCTCCTCAAGTTTTTTTTCACAAGTTTCAAAACTTTAACCAAAATCTAAATAAGCATTCTTACAAGATAGTTTTCCATGTCAGGGCTGAGACCAGAGGAACAGATTTATGGAGATTTTAACATGCTCAGTTAGGTCCTAACGATAAGTGAGACTTATAGCTACAGACAGAGGTATTAGGAATATACTTTCAAAATGTTACAATTAATTAATGTAAAAGTTATGTTAAAGACTTAATGCTGCCCCAAGTCCTATTCTAGGCTTTAAATATTATATGGGTTTATATAACTTTTCTCTGTCCCTCTCCTCCAAATTTATCTATCTCTATATTATGATACCTAGATACACCACACTCTGAATACATTCATATGTAATATAGAAGCACAGGAGTATCGTGTATCCTATATAATAAAAGCCTAATATGCAAATCGACCAAATGGCAGAACAACGGGTCGCTATGATATGCACTGACCAGGGGGCAGATGCTCAATGCAGGAGATGCCCCCAGCCCACAGGCCCCAGGCCGGCCAAGGTGGGTGCCAGTGTGTGTGGGGGGCAACCACTTCGCCAGTCGCCCCACAGATCAGCCCTGATCACCATCCAGGCCTAGGGATCCTACCTATGCATGAATTTCATGCATTGGGCCTCTAGTATATAAATAATTATTATACATGTATCTAAGATAATGTTAAATGTTGCCATTCCTGTTGTTTTGGAGTTTAAGCAGAAGTCTCAGTTGGATTTGCACCAACCCTGTTCACATCCCCACGCAAGTTGCTGTACTATCTCTGTACCACATGAAGACTGTGAAGCAATTTCTGCAACCTTAGTCTGTTGCCCATCTGTAGGTTTTGGAGGAGAAAAAATGGAAAGGACAATTTAACTCCTACAATCCTCCCCTCATTGTGGCACTTTCCCTTACCCCTATCAAGTGAAGAGGGTTTCCTTCAAAAGAAATGTTTGAAGAGTTTTACAATTCCTTGGAATTTGAGGGCCATAGGACCTGGCCCCTGGCCCCTATAGGGAGAATTTCCAAAGTAACACAGTGATGAGGAGAGAGCCCAGCAGAAAGCAAACTGTGACTGCATGTTGTGTAAAGGGCCAATGGGAACCCTGAGGAAGGGAACCTTCCCTGAGTCTTCTCTTCAGTGACTCCATTTCACTGAACCACTTGGGTGAAGGAACATGGCAGGGGCTGAACTACCATTAGCAGAGGTAACAAGGGAGGGTTCAATGGCAGCAAACTGAAAGAAACTTATAAAAAGCCACAAAATTCCCCATGGGTGGGGGGGCGGGGCAGAAATTGTTCATGTTCACTCCTCCTCCCTATTCTAGGATTTCAGTGGGTTGGGGAGAAACTTTAATTTGCATAGATTTGGAGTTAGAGATAATCACAGGATTTTGTCAGGAACAGAGAAAGAGTTACCTCAACCTGATCTAGAGAAAAATTACCATCTTCCAACTCATTATGTTTAAGATTATTTAGAACAGTATAGTTGCCTCAGAATTATGGTTTCCAACCTAGTGGGTGATCTTGCATATGCTGTCTGAGACTCAATGAACATAACCCAAGCAAGCCCTGTGTGATTAGAAACGAATTTAGTCTAGATTTTACAAGATCAGGCTATCTTATCTACGAAGATCTTGGCCTTCATCTTACCATGGATGGATTCCAGAAGACCATAGTGATTCAAGTGTGGCGATATGGAGTGAACTGCCTATGGCAAGAACTTTGCCTCTTATACTGAATTAAGAAATGAAAATGAACCTTGACAATGCGATTTAGAAGGGGGTCTATAATTTGGTGGGTCAAAGTGCTTATGAGGTATTAAAACAAAAAGGATATATAAACTTTGCCATTGGTGTAAGTGTGGCTTATATAATTGTATCCACATTTAAAATAATTTCAAGGCATATCTAATATTAATAATAATGAAACGTATTTGGCATTGAGAATAAATTCTTCTGAGCCTTCTTGTGTTCTAAAGACTCAGCGATTACCTTTCATCATTAAGAACATGAGAGTAGATATGTTTCAATATTCAGAAAGATCTAAACAACTATGATGTCTGATTTCTATGCTGAGGAAATGTAACAGCTCTAGTGTGACTAGCTGAGCATTCGGTTGCCATCTAAGTTTATGGGTCATAGTTTACTGTTTCTTCCTAAAGCAAGAATGTGGGCCAAGAGCACCAAAGCACACTAATGAGACACTTGCATTTTAACCTGGGAAAGAATTAAATCAACTACCATAATGTGCCAAAGCTTGAAAAACAATTTTACATGGTTCAACTTAAAACTAAGGAGAAATATGCATGAGAGTAAATTTTCTCTGATGAAACGATTAGACTCCACACATCAGACAACATTCTCTTTTACATGCTGTCATTTCAAGAGCTAAGTTCTAAGTTCTCTTTTAAAAATAAGATAACTGGCAATCTATAATAATAAAGGCATAATATGCTAATTAGACCAGATAGCGGAACGATCTTCCGGATGTCCTTCTGGATGAAGCTGGTGCTCTGAGGGCTGAGTCCCTTGCACGAATTTTGTGCATCGGGCCTCCAGTTTAAAATAATAACTTTAATTGACTTTAAAATTATAATATGAATGCAATTTTCACTGTAGACCTTATGAAATATAAAGAAAGGCATATTAAAGGAAACAAAATTTGCAGCACCCAGGGAGAGTCATTATTTGTTTGGTGTGTTTGTGTATACACAAACACACATACACAGATACACACACATCTGAACTATATAGGCATTCTGTTTTGGTCTTTTTGCTGTCAATTTTCTGTATATTTTCCCAAATCATTTTTCATCCATTTAAGCACAATGCTTAATGTCTTCATATTATTACTGCAGATGGCCGTCGCTAGCACGCTGATGGATATTTAGGTGGTTTTTCCATTTTTCTATTAGAACTCTGTATTGAGGATCCAAATACATTCTCTTTTTTGGTAAATTTCCTATTCCTTCATGAGAAGTAGAATTATTGAATGAAAGGGCTTACACAATTTACATTTTGAATACATATTTACAAAAACTGGAGGTCAAAATGCTATCTCATGTATTTTCAATTTATATTTTTGACTACTCACTGAAATTTAACTTTTTTATTTATTAGCAATTAGTATTTATTATTTGTGCATTTAAATTTTTATTTTTCTGCAGCAAGAATTTATCTTATATATTAGGATATAAAAACTTGTTACATGTTAAGAATTCTTACAATGTGTGCCAGACATGAGTAACATGAAATAAAAAGTATTTGCTTTCATAGCTTATTTTTGCATTCCAAGACAGAAAATAAATATGCAAACAAGGAAACAAGACAACCCTGTGTTTCAGACAAAGCCATTTCTTTGCATCTGCACTTTTAGATAGCAATAGGGCTAGTAGGATAGAGAAGAGTGGTATCTTAGCTAATGTGGCCAGAGAATCATAAGGTGCTCTAGTTTCTCAAAGTTTTTTATTTTTTATTTTCTTTTATTTATTTTATTTTTTAAATACATACATTATTTTATAGTTTTCCTTATTTTGATCTTGCCTACTTTTGTCAACTGTCTTTCTTTGTATTTTATATTATTGTTGTTATTATGAATGGAATCTCTCTTTGCATTATGTTTCCTAATTGGCTATAGCAGTGACTAACTGTTTTAATTATGTCTATAATTAGAGCAACAGTACTGATGTTAGCATCAGAGTGAACGAATTACCACAGGATGCTACTCAAATTTCCTGGGTTTGGGCCCCCAAGATTTTTATCTCCCTAACTTCCTAAGCTTATACTCAGAGTGGAAGTATCACAGTTAGAGAACCTTATGATGATCAAAAAGCTTAGCCTTTAAAAAGTATGTATGCCTCGTGGTAGTTTATGTTTTGACATTATACTATGAAACCTATAAAATACTTTAAATTTGTGTATCTTGCATCTAGCGAAGTTAAGAAACTTTGAAAAGATATTTATATGTTTTAAAAACCCACTTAATATTACCCAGGTTGTATTTCAGTTTCTGAACTTGTTTTCTTACAGATTTTTCTTTCAAGAAAACAAAAAACAAAAAACTGTGATTCATTCTGGCTGGATAATGCTGAACGAGACCAAGAAGCTCTCTGTGCTTTGGGACTTCACACGTGGCCAGGGAGGAGCTGGATGGCTGCATGAAGGGGGCTGACTGACTGTGGGAACAATAGCCAGGAAAGACCTATCTTCCTGTCTTGCTGAGCGTCTACCTGTGTACTTCCATAGCCCTCATTGTTATGTGGGGGCCCTGACCAATCACATTATCCCAGGGACAATGTAAGCGTCAAGGAGAAACTTTCTCACATGATTCTCCTAAAGGTCTGTCTGTGGTTTGCAGTAAAGTTTTGGAAATTTTTTCTCCCAGACATTCAAAATATTAATTACAATGTTGCATTAATATAATCCATTAATATTTTTTGGTCTAATTAATTTTTCCTACTAAATTTGAAGACTTTGGATGCTTTGTGTTTTGGGGTCAAGCCTATATGTTATTATATCTTTCATAGGCTGGGCTGAAAAAAGTTTAAGTATAATAACGAGAGACTATTGATGCCATGAGTGTCTACCCTTCCTGTACACCAGAGATTTAACTTAAGGATAGCGATAAATGCTTGCCTTCTGCCAGTCACACAGCATCACCAAGTACTCCCATAAATACACATCACTTCCTTCTGTATGTTCCCCTATCATTTCACACTTGACTATCATTGTGTTCAGGACCATGATTTAAAATAAATTATCTGAGTTTTCCTTACTGGATTATAACTCCAAAAAAGGTAGGAAATTGCTCTTATTTTTCTTTTTGTTTTCTTCAAGCTTCTGTGTAGGGCAAGCATAAGTTAGTTGCTTAGTGAGTGAATTGATAAATCATTAAATAATGTTTTTATTTTGTTCTCACATTATTTTTTAACTTGATCAACATCAGAGTCTGCCAAATGCCTTTATAAAGTATTTAACTCTATATTAAGTTACTAAAACATAAACAATTTTCTGTTAAATGATTGTTTTCACTGTGCTTCTCTTCAACTTCTGGGGTAAACTCATGTTTGGTTTGATGAGTAAGTGTATTTAGACATTTATCTGGCACGCTTGAATAAATTCCTCTATGAGGATAGATCAGTGTACTGTTTTTAAAGTAATAATATAGCATGTGGAATTTACTCTGACAGCTTCTAGCAGCAGCAATAGCTAACACTCATGTGACATTTAGTAGGTGCCAGGCTAGTAGCTAACTTAAAACTACTTGCCAGGCATGATTTAAGGACTTTATATATATTAATTTGTTGAATATTCTCATTAGCTTTGTGAGATTATCATTATTATTCCCATTTTACACATAAGAGAACTGAAGCTAGAAGAAGTTAAATGAATACTAGTACCCAAGGTTATGTAGCTGGTAAGTGGTAGAAATAGCTTTCGAAACTAGGCCATCTGGCTTCACAGTCTGTGAACCTGACCACGATGCTGAAGACTCTTCAAAGACTTTGCTATTTTAGGTCACATTTAAAACATGACCCTGAGGAGGAAAAAATATTAAGCGGTAAAGATAGAATTACAGACATGTAACCTACCTTGAAATCAACATTAGCCCAAGATAATTTTATTGATGGTAATAAACTGCTAGAATATGAATCATATGCTCACATGTTAAGCACAAAATTTGAGATGAAAAGTAGCACACAGAGTATCCATTGCAGTCTGTTATGGCCAAGCCTAATCCAGAGTCTTAAACAAACAACATTACGATCTGCAGTGTTGGGTTTTTCTTTTGTTGTTGTTTTTTTTTACATGGAAGTGTGTGTGTGTGTTTTCTTTCAGGCAAGACTAATTAATTAGTTAAGAAAGACTGTCCACCTGAGTTTTCAATCCTCTTCACACCTCCACATTTCCTTGAATCTGGGCTAAGAGAAGGGGGTCCCTGAGCCTGCCAGCCCATCCTTTGTGCCTCTCAGTTTATCCCTTGCCATCTGTCTGACAAAATTGCCACCTCTCACCCCAAACCTGGCCCCCTGATCCTCAGCCCAGCTTTTAGTCAACCTCACTAGCATGCTCATTCATTCAAAGTCACTTCAACTCCTGATTTCATCTGGTTAGAAAAAATGACATCATAAAGCAAATTATAACAGAAAAATAATTTTATCCACATTGTCATAAAATGATTCAGAATAAATCAAAGTAGGAATTATTTTAAAGAATGGTAGAAAGAACCTTCTTATATACCAACTGTGTTTATCAGAGATGTACCTCCACTCAGGATTTGTCTGCAAGACAATATTGTTACTCCCGAAGGCATACCATCAAATAGTACCAGATATTGTATTACATTAATATAAATTGATATCAAATTAGAAGGAGCTTATGTTTCTTGAGTGTTTACATTGTGCCTTACATATATTAATTCATTTGATCTTCACCAATTATGCTCAGATAGGTGTTATCAACCCTTTACACAGATTTCAAAAAAACAGAAATATTACAAAATATTTCTCCAAAGTCTCAGCATCAGTAATTTGCAGCAGTGGGATTTGATATTAGTCTTTTCCAAATCTCAAACTCCTTCCACAATACCATGATTTTAAAAAAAGGGGGGGATGATGAATTTTAAAGAGGGACTAGAGAAACAGTGAGGGACAATGCCTATAGAGGGCAGGCACCTCGCTGGGAGATTTGCAAAGCCAGAGGGTAACTTAAATCTGGGAGAGTCTCACCCTGGCAGGTGTGACTCAGTTCTTTGGGTGTCATCCTATGCATTGAGAAGTCATTAGTTTGATTCTCCATCGGGGTATATGACTGAATTCAATCCCCAGGAGGGGGCATGTAGGAGGTAGCTGATCTATGTTTCTCTCTCTCCAACTCCCTTCCTCTCTCTCTAAAACTGATAAAAATATATTTTTAAAAACCTAAGAGAGTCTCCAAATGTTGACAAAGGGTGATGTCCTAGCCAAGTAGCTCGGTTGGTTAGAGCAATGTCCCGATATGACAAGGTTGTGACTTGATTCCTGATCAGGGCCCATGCAAGAATCAACCAATGAATGCATAAATAAGTGGGACAACAAATTGATGCTTCTCTCTCTTCTTTCTCTTTCTAAAAAATAAAAATAAATAAATTAATTAAAAAAAAAGAATAAAAAGGTTCTGGGAATCTCAAGAATGTTCTGTCTTCTGCAGTATTTCTGGAAGCTTGCTATTTATGGCAGACTAGAGTGAGAGACTGGAAAAGACGTTAAAGAGGATGTTGAAGTGAGGAAACCCCAGACTTGTTTACCATATTTGTATTCATTAAGTTCCAATATTTCGAATTCACAGTCCAATTGCTAAAGTTATTGTTTAAAACATATTGTTTACTACCAGATGGAAGATAGTGAAGTGAGTGCTGATAGAAACAGGGAAGTGATTGTCTGAGATTAGAAAAGTGGAATGCATAAGATTTAGCATCTATTTGAATGTGAGGAAAAGAGGTGATATTGCAATCAGAAAGGACCCAAGTGTGAAACTGGATGATCCAAGAAGGGTGTTGGGTTTCGTGTGTGGTGCTTGTAGGGCATCTTTGTAGAGATGATCGGAAGGAATTTTTGAAGTGAGAGAAAGCTTGTGATGTACGTGATGGTTATTATATACATTTGTTTAGAAAATGATAGTTAAAGCCAGTCTAATATAGGTGGTTTTAAAGGGAAAGAACATACAGGGATAAAAACTGGAAACTTCTATTTAGGGAGCAGAATGAGAAATAACAGTCTAAAAGAAAAAGGCCTAAAAAAAGAACAACACAACAATTTGAGAGAGCAGCATCATGGAAGCCACAGGACGAGAGCTGTGATGAAAAAATTCTACAGAACATTCAAGATAAGGATAGAAGAAAAAAATCTTAGATTTGGCAGATTATTATTACGTCTCTGAGAGAGTGAAGCCCTTGATCAATAGAGCAAGTGGAAAAAGAAAACATTAAAAATAGAGGCTCTTTTTCTGAGAATGATCTTTTGAGGAATCTACCAGTAAAGGGAACATCCAGCAGGGCAGTGGTGATGGGATCAGAGGCACTAGCATGTGTGCAGTCTTACCTTTTGAGGAAAAGGATCTAGGAGAGGGAGGAGGTGAGGGAGAAAGAAAGGGAAAGGGAGAGGGAGAGGGAGAGGAAGAGGGAGAGGGAGAGAAGAGAAATGGTACATGACTATTGGGACAAGCTCTCAGAGGGTGGAGAAGGGTCACAATTAAATTACTTCTTTATCTTCAATAGGAGGGAGAGAGGAGAAGATGGGTGAAGAAGCTGAGTTTTGAAGAGAAATGGGAGAGATGTTGAGGAAGTTCATTGCTTCTGGTCTTGATGTCACTTAAGGTGAGATTATTTGTAGATACTAAGTATGAATTGGGGCTCCCTTCTTTAGGAAATGAAACAGCTTTATGGAAATGCAGCCAATTTAAAGACAAATTGAAACATTAATTAGGACTAGTGAGTGGCTGTTTTTTTCGTAGTTAATGATGGAACCAGTTGTTTTGTTATAGAGCTCTCTCCAGTATATCTTGAAAATTCAAGAGCAGAAACACGGGCATTCCTCGTTTATTTGGGTTAGGGAATCAGCCAAACTCTTTCTATTGCAGCTTCCAAACTTTTTTTTTCAGTATCTTCAAAAACTCAGTAAACTATTTTCTTTATTGTTCTTGTCTACCAAGTTCCATGATCCTTATCTGCTTCTGTAATTTCAATATATAGATCACAATCTTTTTCTCCTTACATCTTGACATTATCCTCCCATTTTTTTTACAATTCACATTAATAACATCATTGTTTCAAAGTCCCTTGATTTCCTCAGCTCTATTTAAGTACATCTCATTTCACCTAAGCAATCTATAAACACGTCTACATTTCCCATGATATCATCTTTTTTCATAGCTGCTTCTCTACCGTGATCTTGACCTGCAGCTTCAGATTTAAGAATCTCAATTAGTGAATAAAAATATACTTTAAATTGAAGGTAAAATGGCATGTATTTTAAGCTGAAAAATAATTATTCTGTAAGACTGATCCTCCTACATCCAGAATTCTAATACATTCTTTTTCTCTGAAAGACAATATGTTAGTATGCTGATCAGTAAATATAAATGAGTGTGTTCACTTTCTGAAATGTTCCCTTGAGTTTTAAAATGGATACTACATAATCCATTAAATAATGGTCTCTATTGAATGAATATCTACACTGTCATATGCATTCAATGCACATTCTATAAACTCACAGCAACATTTCAAATATATCAAAGCCTTCTAGCTAATTATTACCATAATTTTTATTTGTACAGTGGTCAGACTCCAAAACCTAGAATTTTACCCTGTAATTCTCATGTATGTAAGATTCCACATATTACCTTGAAAGTGTTTTTTAAAATGCAGTGTAAATATTTCTAGAATTATACTGATCTTTGAGAACTTAAAGTTGATATAAATTGAATGGTATAGGATGACTATTTTAACCAAAAACATAGGGCTTGTAGTTGTTCAATTAGAATTCCAACTATGCCACTTATAAACTTTGGGATTTTGGGAATTTAAGCCAAAAGTTTTGGTAAGTCTCATTTGCTCTATAAAATAGAAAAAAAAAATCACACCTATAACACCAAGTTGCTGTTTAAACAATTAAATTAGAGAATTTTTGCAAAGTGTTTAGTACTTGTGAAACATAATAACTACTCAACATGTACCAGGTAATACAGTAGGTCCTCAGTTTATGACGTACAGCAATATTCTCCATAAGTTGGAACCACCTACATAAGCACCTACATCACTCACATGGAGCACACACTCTGCAGTAATGAAGTGAAACAGTAAAAAAAATTAAAAGAAAGATAACAATTCCTGACCTTTACTTGTGGTAAATAAATAATAAAAAACATAAAGCACACATGTACATATGTCAAAATGATGGAACTTTTTTAAAAAAATAAATAAACTAGGGGCCTGGTGCACAAATTTGTGCACAGGTGGGGTCCGGCAGGCCCACCCTGATAAGAGCCGATGGGAGGGAGGGGAAGCAGGAGGTTGGCTGGCTGGCCCTGCCTCCTGCTCAAACTCCCGGTTGAGGGGACAATTTGAATATTAACCTTTTATTATATAGGATGGGAGATGGCGACATAACCATGAAACAATGTACGTTGAGTCCGACATAATCTGAGGACTGTCTGTAATAGTATTGCTATTATAATTATGTCCAACTAATATTTTTTCAAAGTATTTTGAAATATTTGTAAGCATTAATTAATCTCACAGACACTCAGAATGCCTTAGTAAGATAACATATAAGGACATCTCTGACCAAAAGATGTTTAATAAGATACAATATATTTTTAATGGTGCTTTAGTTATCAGTATAGGAAGCTAATTCTTGGATAGTATAGATTCTATTTTCGTATTTTAAAAATTCCCCACAATTTTGTGTGTGTGTGTGTGTGTGTGTGTGTGTGTGTGTGTGTGTGTGTGTAGATGGCAGAAAGGAAAAGAAAGCATTCTGGTAGTCTGGTGTCAATGTCACATAGCTCCAATTCCCATCGCGGATATTTCTTCAGTGTACCGGATTGCCGCGCCATGGTTGGGAGGCTGGCTGCATCAGCTCCCACACATGTGGCCCTAGAAGTGCTTCCATCCCTGTCTCCCACCACCTCATAATGAGTCCCCGGTGGTGCTCCGTTAGGAACTGAGCTGTCATCCTCAAGTTGGCACTCGCTGATTTTGCCAACATTGTTTCTGATGATGTGTTTGTTAGGGGGGCCATTTGCTAATACCTGATGAAGTATCACCATTAAGTTTCTTGAAAATGAGTTTGCTTTGCTAATCTCAGGGCTGTGGAACCTCTGGGAGCAGGGTGCATAGTAATAACTAAGTCTGGTTCCGGACCACCTGTCTGTGACATAGGGCTGGGGAGTTGAGACATCCCTGGGATTCACTCTGCATGGGAAAAGAAGAAGGAAAGAAATATGCCTCTCAGATGCAGATTTCCTTCTAATTCAATGACAGTTTGAATCAAGGGGCTCACAGCCTGGCAACTTGTTTTTCTTTTGCAGTAAGTATTTTGCTTGTCTCACATTATCTCCAGATTAAAACTAACACCTTAACTAAGGTGTACAGTTTATCATGAAGGTTGGAGCCAGTGTAAAGTGATAAATTGGGAAAAATTGCCTACAATTTTATGAAGTTTATAACTTAAAAATATCCAGAACAATAGTTCTCAAAAAGAAAGAAAGAATGAAAGAAATTAGTCAGAATCAGTCTTGGAATTTGTTAATTATGCAAATGCTGGTCCTTATCCTGAGAGATTCTGAGTCAGTAGGCCTAACGCAGTGCCTAGAAATCTTGTTTTAATATGCAACCTAGTCAGTTCTGAAGGAGGGGGTTTTTAAGAAAAAACTTCATGAAGTACTAATGCAGAATTTGTAAAGACCTGTAATTTAACTTTTAGCTGCTATCTTGGCCCTGTTGTAGTCAGACAATAAGATGCCCATAAAACTCCAAGTTTTCTATTCTCTTTCCATGTATGGATTCTCCTTCACATTGTCATCTGTTAATTCAATGACTCATCTAGTTTTTATATTGAATTGCTGGCGACTTTGCATTTCCTCTCCAAATCCACTCTCAACTGTCTGACTCGCCTTGTGTTCCTGAGCCCAGACTCTAAGGATTGCATCAGTCCGTGTCCCTTGCCTTCAGGTCAGCGGAGAGTAAAGTCAGGGCATTTATTTTTCTGTGCTCCCTTCTAAGAGAAGCGTGTCCATGGCTGAATTCTTCTACTCAAGCATTCAATTGGAGGCACTGTAGCTCTAAGACATGCTAGATTCCACTAATGCCCTCTTCTTTTGCCCCATCAAACTTGGAAGACTAACTGTTCCTTAAGATTATCTAACCCAGATGCTTCACTTTCCCTTATTGATTTCATGTAACTCTGTTCATGCCTTGTAAGAGCCCTGTGGTTAAACTCTCTTCTGTTATTCCTTTTGAGTGTGTCATGATTTTCCGAAGGGGATCCTGACCAAGATATTAAGTAGCTTTATAGCAGCTCCTGAGAAAGTCTTGGGAAATAAAGCATAGTGACAAATATTTCTTCTGATTTGGGATAGGCACGCTGGTAGAAAAAAGGAAGATGGCCTGGCAATTGGGAAAAATGTATTAATGAGGCTGTAGGTTCCTGGATATTGTTTAGA